GGTGATAATGTAGGCGTAGTCTAAGTCTGCAACTCTCTCAGCTGGGAGCTGCTCGATATTGCAGTTTCGCATGCTTTCCAATGCTCCTTGGACGATATCTTCAGTGCAAAATTGAAAAAGTAAGATGAAATAAGGCAACCTTGGCGAACGCCGCTGCTGGCAGCAAACAGAGAACAATATGCTGTAAGCCCTGACTTTGCACGACGTTTGGCTGTAAAATTCCTTCAGCATGTTAACAAACTTTACGAACACCCGTTTCCTTAATTAACCGTTTCACCGCGCAGGTCTGTCTACCGGATCAAATGTCGTTTGGTTATCCAAGAACACTAGGTTGTTGTCCTTCGGTGGACATGATGTAGTTCAAGGAGTTGGCGTAGTGTAAAGATTCGGTTGATACAACCTCTGCTTGCACGAAACCCACTAGTCCGTCTTGAGACGCGCTGTCCCTACTCGCTGCAAGCCTACAGTGTAGCACGGATACGAAAATATTTGACGCAACGGAGATCAACAAAATTCCGTGGTAGTTGGCACACTCTTCGCAGGAGCATTTCTTGCGAATCGGCACTACCACTGATTCTCTTTATGCAATCAAAGCTTTCTCGTCAGGCCAAACCTTTGTGAATAGTGACACTATCATCGCGAAAGTCTCCCTGGAAGCGGATGTACCTGCGCCCCTGGCTGTGGCTGTTCGTGCAGTTCCGGTTACTCTTTGTGACATCAGAGGAGGAACGAATGTCGATCTACCAAAAAGCAGTTAAATGCGTCCGCAACCGATGGCTCACGACAGCCGCAGGACCAGATGTTCTTCCTCCAGCCCTCTTCAAATTCGGGAGCTCTACTCTTGTTGATGTTTTACATGAATTACTAGTGAAACTCTGGGAGCAGGAGACTGTCCCAACCGATTAAAGCCACTCCGTTATTGTTCCCATCTTCAAAGGGGGCTCGCGCTCGGAATGCGGCAACCACAGGGGAATCAGTCTGATCTCCATTGCCTCCATAGTTCTTCATAGACTGGCGCTCGTGAAAGCCATATTCTTGTGGAGCAAACCTGATTTCGTCATGGTCGTGGCTGCATCGACCACATCTTCACCTTACGTCAGTTGTCGGAGCATCGTCACACATATTGGCGGCCCACCGTAGTCGTGTTCCTCGACATCAAAGGTGCCTTCGATTCGGTTGACCGATGTGCCCTTTGGAATTATCTACTCAGGAAAGGTGTACCCGAGAAATATGTAAGTATTATCCAAGCGTTATAATTGCGTAGCACGAGCAGAGTGAGAGCTTACGGCAAGCTGTAGCCACCCTTCAATATCTTTAGCGGTGTGACACATGGATGCCCGCTGTCACCTTTCCTCTTCAACTCCGCTGTTGACGAAGTCATGGAGATTGCTTTTACAGGACATGACTTGGAAGGTGTGGAGCTACTCCCAGGAGAACGACTTCTTGACGTGGATTATGCAGACGACATTGCCCTGATCTGTGAGAGCTCCACGACGTGCCAAGCCGCGCTGGACAAATTAGCACTGGCTGTCAGCCGCTTCGGGCTTTGCTTTGCACCATCGAAATGCAAAGCGTTCCTCCCAGATTGGCAGGGATCGCCTCCTGCGCTGACCCTTAGTGGGGATCAGCTGCTAGAGGTCGTTCAGAAACTCAACTACCTGGGAAGTTGCATCAGCTCCCTTGGGTTCGAAGATGAGATCACGAGCTGTATAGCGAAAGCTCGAAGTGCTTTTGCTTGTCTTTGTCATCTATGGTGGCGGCGCGACATCACTCTGGCCCTGAAGGGTAGAGTGTACAATGCAGCGGTACGTTCGACCCTACTGTACAGTTGCAAAATCTGACCCCTAAGATCGGCGGACCTGAAGAGGCTAGTTACGTTCGACCATCGGTACCTTCGCAGTTTGGCTCACATCTGGTTGGAACACCGCGTGAGCAACAAGTGTGTTCGACGCCTTGTTTAAGACACAGCAAAAGTAACTGTACCGCTCAGCACCATCATTTCACGCACAAGGCTCCAAGGTGACCAAGCGATGACTTGGTCCAGAAGAATGAAGGCCCTCATTTCTGTGCTGGCCTCGGTTGGAGCGTCACTGCTCCCTGGTTGGGGTCCGAAAGACGATGAACACGTTTGGCTGGATACACTTGCTGACATGGCAAGGAGCCGACCTCAGGGGCGTTCGTGCTGTGAGTTTCTTTGTCCTTCCCCATCCCTTTTAGCCTCCCCTCCATCTACGATTTCATTTCTTAGCGTAAAACATTATAACTTTTCTTTTTACCTGGTAGCCGGCTGGTAGCTTACCGGAACGATGCCTATCCGTTACTGGTGGCTCAGCTGACATGCAACTCTTTTATTTATTTTTCTTTTCGTTTATGTATTGCGGCACAGTAGCTGAGGTGTGTCCCACCTCTAGCTGACCTGTATAATGAATGAATGATTGCAGGTCACCAGAGGGTTTCTTGAGAGAAAACAGCTAACAGACCTCAGCATTGCTGACCCGGCGTTCCCACCAGCTGTGAGCGGGATTTCGCGAGAACTGTTTGTCAAACGCGGCCAGTCGTTGCATGCCTTCATTGCGAACTTTCTAGGTGTCTGATTCACATACGCACAGAGTAACACCTGCTAGTGTCACACTGTCTCCACAGATGGATGAGTCTTTGTAAAGCCGCTAGTACTTCGATGAAACGCGAATTCATCTCCTCAGTGGTGTAACCACAAGAAATGACATAGTTACCCCGGAAGATGAACCGATTTACGACTTGCAATGACTTTTCGGTGACTGCCAATAACGGTGGCGTGTCGATATGGTCTTGCGACAGTACTTTACGTTTTAAAGATGAAAGTCACATGCTAGTGTGTTAAATCCGAGGGTGACCATATTGTCCACATTCGCATGGTTTTCCAGTCGGTCACCTGGCCGAAATTCCACCCCGAGGGAGGGCTGGAGCAGCCGCAGTCTTGTTCGTGAAGTTCCGAGCAACACACGCCATTCATGCCCGGAAATTCAGGTAGAAGCCTGAATTCCTCGTTAGTGAATATCGGGGAGGGTTTATTGAGTTCTTTAGATGGATCGTCGCTTTTGGACCCAGTCCGATAGCCGCCACACCATCTCCTCTTTTTCGTGATCCCTCTGTGAAGAGTAATTATGTATGGTTGGAATGGTATGGGTGTTAAATGGTATATGTATTTATTTATCGCAACTAGACTCCGTCAGAAGATCACTACGCACCTGGAAAAGCGCTGTACGGCCGTTTCATCCTTTCGGGAATCGTCAACCATGCACACCCCATCTGGCCCTTGCAGGGCGCGAACGCACATCTCAACTGATGCCATTTTGTGGTTGGGACCACTGAGTTACGGGAGATGACAACACTTGACGAGGATCGCCCTTGTAATGAAATACATCAAAGGACTGGAGTAAATCACATATAGGTAATTCCCAGTGATAACAAAGACATTCAAATCACTCATCAATAGACGGTCTCGGCATTTACCATATATTTTTTCGCTGCAGTCTAGAAGATGGGATCTTGATCCCATGGGGGATCTGTAAACAGCGTGGATTATGATGAGCCTGTATCCATCGTGATCTCCACCGAAGAATTTCCTAGTCTCCATCAGGATCGCCTATAATTTCATCTGTGTGAACCTTACGGTCTGTTTTCTTGTAGAGAACTAGGTGTCACTTCGAAAGTATCCCATCAGGAAACTTGCTATTCTGGAATTTGTATCCGAGAGCAACGGGGTCCCTGTGAAAGCCATCTGATCAGATTAAGGCTCTAACTTAGTAGAATCACATCCAGCTCGTTTCTCCAACCCTGCTTGTTAGCAGATACTATTCTCAATCTACTGCTTACTCGAAGCACGCTGGCTGATCTAAAAACGAGATATCCAGTGTTTTGAACTACTCAGGTATCGGCAGTGTGATCCTTTCTTCCGCCATCCGCTTGCGGGCTTCGTAATTCATCAACGTCATGGTTCACTTTAGTTATGTTCTCTGGTGATACGGGTTCGAATCGGCGTAGAGTTGGGCGTCCTCGCGGCATACTCAGTCCGCGTGCGACTGTTGGTGGTCGCACAGCAGCGAAGCGCCTTTACAGCGTACAGCTGGCACTCAGAACACTGAATGCTTCATTTTTCAGACGTGAGGTCTGTTTAAGGCTACGGCGGTAATCGTCTTCATGTTGGCAGACTATCTTTAGAGGAAATCTTTCGAGGGTTCATCTTGTCGAGATGAAGGCTCTTAGTTCGATTTTTGCCTCGGTTGGCACCTCCCTGATCTGATGCAAGCTTACATGTTGCTCGTGCACTTCACCAAGAAAAGTTTGGGGTCAGCGCGGAAAGCCAGTTCATCTGCGACTGTCCACAATGATGGTTGATGGTGCTCATCTGGTCATTGCAGTCGATTTTAGTAAGTGCCAACTTGTCAAGTGGAGCTTGCGCGACGCAATGTATGCCGCCCCATTTTTCATTGACGTGCGTTGAACTTGCTGGTATTTATCAAATACCCCAGGTGTTTAGCATATTTAACCATCGGCATTTTCGTATCTGATAGATTAGTTTAAATTGCCCCAGAGAGAATCATTACCTAGTTTTCAACATAACTCCCATATGTTTTATGCGCGCTCAGCACTGTGTCGTCATAAGTTATCTCTTCATTGTGGAAGATATTGTGCTCACTGGGCTGAAATAGACGTATTGCTGTACATAAGTAGCAATATTGATCTCGTACTAAGTTTGGTGATTGGTCTGACGTATCACAGTGTATTAAGATGCAAAGTCCAACTGATTTTCTTTGCCGAATTATATGTTAGCCGTCTAGTGGGCTATTTCAGACAGGACATTTGTTATGCCAGGGGGGTTTCGAACCTTTTGTTCTCATTCAACATTATTTGGTCAATTGCAGTTCATTCTAGTTGTATTCGCTGCAGTCCACTATGTTTCCTCTAACAACGTTGTTTATTCTTCCATGCGATAGTCATGTTCTTGTTTTCCGTTTCAGAAGAGCGACCTCACAAATGCAAGTACTGTAAGAAAGCGTTTCCTCTTGTGGGCAGCCTCCGGGTTCACGAAAAGTCTGTTCATATGAGTGAGTAGAATTTTGAGTATCTGGTTGCTGGCCATATATATATATATATATATGTATATATATATATAAGTCTATAAAAGTTACATAGTCTTTCAGAGCCGTGAAAATTTAACTTGCAACACGAATATTTACATCGATTTGAGCAAACAAGCAAAAATAAAGAACTATTCAGCTTTTTCACGTACGCCGTTTTTTCGTTTCTTTGCATTCTTACGAAGTTACTATTTTTTATATCGGGAGTTATCGAAGGCTGGCGCGTATTGATTCCATTGCTACCAGTTTTATGCCGTTCGTTCGAGTGTTATAAACCATCAGTGTTCTTCATCTGTTGATCCCGAGCCGGATTACCCTGTATTTTTTTCATTCCAGCTCATTCTGTCATCATTGAGAGACGGTCGTGATGGTGTCGGGAGAAGGCCTTTTTCAGTTCCTTCTATTGAGTTTCCTGTCCAATTAATTTTCAATTTGCTTGCTGGCAGCGATACCTTCAGCTACTGAGCTACTATCTCTAGAGATGCGAAACGCGCAGTCGTTGTCGATATCTTCGGTATCATAGGTTCGTTACTAGGTTGCCATCTTGTAAACGTGTTGCGATTGTGCAGCGCACATCAATTTCTAGGGAGTGCATAGTAAGCACTCTCCTTTTGACTAATCGTATGCAACATGCAAACGTTGAACGAACAAACGGGAAAATAAGATATTTGGTTTGAGTGCGTTACAGAGTCGGCAGCAAACCCTTGCTCCAAGGACAGAGAAGAGGGAAGTTTCAATAACGTGCACTAGCTACTGAGTCTAAAGGGCAAGTGATTTTCCCCAGCTGCCCATTCCAAGAAAAAGTACTCTCCGTCTAGCCTTTGACTCAAGGGTTTGTCCTGCGAGATTGTGATGTTTATGGTTTAAGAATATTCAACTGACGTAGGTTTAGATTAAGATGTCTGCACGATACCGTTGTGCGGGTCAGATGATCCTACGAAGTGTAAGTGGCAGATTTACCTGGAAGGCGTTGAACAACGTGTGTCCCGCTTACACCAAAGCCGTTTCAGCGTACGGCACTATTTTGGTGCTAATCTCAGCGCAATTCCGTAACAACTACTCGCCGCTCGTAAAAAATTTCAACATATATGGCGTCGAATGACACGTATACACCGTAACCTCGTTTCAGCACGCTACTTTCTATATAGCAAGTTGAGCAAAGGGAAACAAGTCCGCAGGGACCGATAGAGTAGACTGCACTCACGACCTCCACTCACTTAATTGTCCCAACAGTGTGGGTCACCAAGACTATGGTGGCTTGTGTTGTCACGTGTGATAGTCATGGGCCACACACACTGCTGTTTAAATGGTGTAATTTCACCGACCATACACCTCGCAGTGTAACAATCTTGAGCAGTACTCATATTGTTCAAACAGTGGTGCCAGATGTTTATCAGTGTTGATAGATGATCATTGAAACAAGCATGGTAGTGAATCTGTTTCTTAGAATGTTTGCCGGCTTGATGACCGCGATCGTAGGACGCGGTTAGCAGTTGAGGTAGAAGATCATCGTTGTGATCTTGTAGGAACCCAGAGTTGCGTTGAAAGGCTCACAGAGGATGAAGTCACCATTCCTTTTACGCGGTGCACAGAGTTCATCGGAAGTAGGTGATTCCGATGCTTACAGTGGTGTTGTGGGCGTAATAATTCGGATGGCGATGACAAATCGGCAGACACCTTGGATGTCCTCAGTCGGAAGTGGAAGTGGTTCATCACGGAGAGAGATGTATTTGGAGTTATCAGTCACTTTAGAGATGAACATTGTAGCCGACCAGATGCGAGTGGCTCAAATTCTACAATTCCTGTCACCAGACATAGTCGTCCGTCTGCGACAGGTGCGTTTTCCACTGACTAGCAGCGTGGTCCCATTGAGGTACTTCTCATCCTTGTTATGTCAAACTAATAAGTGTACCAAATCATAAGGCACATTGTCCGATGCACACTATAGGAATAAAGCAGGCATTGAGTGTAAGTGTCACACACTCTGTCTATTGAGTATCCGTTTCCACTTTTGTATTGCGGCACATTAGCTATGGTGTGTTGTCCATCCTCAAGCTAACGTGTATCGACAAGTGATATGATACCTTTCTAGTTCCAACAACCTTTAGTTTTCATGACAACTACTCCAGTATGCTTATGGTCTTCCTGTAGTATTACGTGTGTGCCCCTATTCTAACGAATCATTTGTTCTGTAGCCTTGTTCCCCCCTCCTTTGAAGTTCATCTTTGACTATTCACTTTCTGTTCCCCATTTCAGCTGAGCCCCCCTATACATGTGAACAATGTGGTATATCGTTTTCACGGAAGTACATTATGCGAAAACATCTCAAATCTGTTCATTCAGGTGAGCGTTTAACTAATGGGGCCAATTGAATTCATTTTGGCCGCTTTCGTTGTACCATCGTGGATGGTGTCACGTGGCTACAGTTTGATCAGCCATACTACTTGTGATAGCTTATTGTTTTATTCTTCTCACGATCCAGAATCATGTTGGTTCACGGAATGTTCAATTTTTCAACGGCCACTGCATTGGCTTTAGGTGCGAAGACCAAACGCACATTACAATCGAGAATACACTTTTGTATTGTTCTAATGATTATTGCAAATTCTTGACAAACTTTGCTCGCATTTATGATTGCTTGCTGCTATTTTGTAGAAGTTGAACGCTCAGCTTCGAATGATAACCCAGTTGCACCAATGGGATTAAAACAGGAGAAACAGGTACAAGTCACCCCATAGGGTGGCGATGGGCTGCTATACCTGAGGCGTGATTGGACCGCTGCTAATCAGTACTTTGCTCTCCCAGTGTGAATGTACACCGGTGGCAATGGGACGTTTGCGTGCAATTGGCTCTTTACAGACACACATCGGCAGACGGAGAGAAATTGACCCCGTGGATATGCCGACAGCCCGCTGTAGAAAACTCCTTCTGTTTGCATTTGACTGTTACCACAACTTTTATCATTACTTTTGATACATCTGTACTTTTATACCTGATTTTAACTTGTGTATCAACAAACCTTTTTGAGCTGTCTTTGCCGATGTGTTGATCATGGAAGGCGCTACAGCTATGGATCGACATTGTGTTACAGGTGAAAAGCTCACGTTTGACAAATCCCGTAGAATGGTCAGGTTGAAGTACGCAAGTTCATTGATAACCCTTGGCATAAGTTTTTCCTCAGCGACCGAATTTCCTTCAGTGCATACCACATGCACTTCAGTGGATTTTCTTTGCTCACTCCTGCTATGCGTGAATGCATCTTCGCTATTGTCTTTATGCCAACTCCTTTTCAGCAATACATATCCGTAGGAAATAAACATCTTTCGTTGTTCGTCCAGCATGCAGACACTCTGGACTCGTGATATTCAACGAATCCTTGCGCCTTCTTTTCTTTTGATCAATCCTTTGACCACTTCATGGAGTAGGACTGGGATACTATAAGACGTTATGCAGTTAATTCATCCATTGTTTGGACAATGATTTATCAAGGGTTAGAATGCAGATGGCTGACAAATCCCGTAGGATGGCTGAGGTGAATGCTATGGAATCAACTCTTTTTGAGTCGTCTTCCGAGTTAAATGTGTTGATAAATAACGTTAATTTAGAAAATTGTTTAAAAAATTGAATGCAAGAATACGGAAAAACACAGAGCGCATTGATCGTTGTGTAGGACAGCGGAAGTCAACGACAACTCGTGACCCGGAAATACAACAAAAAGGGATAGTAGGGAAGTACCTACGTGTGCAATGGATGTGGCGAGACAAAGCTTTGCGAGCCTTGTGGATGGAGCCGACAGCGGATCACGAGAGGCATCTGGTAATGAGGCTGAGCTCAGAACAACGGAGGAGGTAGTTGTGGAGAATCCAGTGAATCAGATACACGCCGCTGGCGAAGCCCACTGGAGTGAATCCGGGTCGAGTGATGCAGCCATGGGAGAGCAAATCGCATGCTTTCGACGACTCCTGGCTGGCCAGATACGGATATAGCGAAGCGGAGATACGAGATGAAAATTTGAGTGGTTTGTTCCAAACCTCACTTCTGTAGGCACCTGGAATGATCGTTCATCCAAATCCTCATCCGCACTGCATCGTAGGAAGCAAACACGTTCCATATCTGTATAGGTTTGTGAGTTGTTCGTTGCACGTTTTTGTGGCAGTACACAATTTGGCCCCCATCCCGCGTCGTTCTCGCTACAGTTGACGTTAAACGTGAGAAAGGTAATTAACCTTCCCTCACTCCGGTGTCGCTCCCTTGGGTCCATGTGACATAAACCAGGTAGGAGAGTATAACCAACGTAATCCATGTTAGCGCAGTTTAACTAACGAAGCGTTAGGAGTTAAGTGCAACATCCAATCCAAATTCGCCATTACGGATTCGATACATGCTACGTCGATTCATAGCTGCCGTAACCGGGAAGTCCTGACGCCGGAAGGCCAACCGCTGTCATGTGCATGGCAATGGAGGATGGGTCGGGCTATATCGCAGTTACCTAACAATTCGTGATGGTCGGCTGCCGTCCGTCATGGCTCAGTTGCATAAGCTGCGCGCTAGTTGGCACAAACCATTGGCAGTCATGGGTTCGATCCTCCGTAGAGGACCGAAGGGTACGCACCACTGACGAGCCCCAGTATGGCGAAACGGCCGTCTGGTGCTTTTCCGGATAGGTGGTTGACTTACCTGAATTGTCGGCCGACTGCGACGAACAAAAATACTCGCCAAATTCCTTTTACTCATAAGTAATACAAATTCGCCCTTACGGATTCCATAAATGCTACGTCGATTCACAGCTGCCGTAACCGGGAAGTCCTGACTCCGGAAGGCCAACCGCTCTCATCTGCATGGCAGATGCCTGCATGGCAGTGAAGGATGGGTCAGGCTATATCGCAGTTAGCTAACAATTCATGTTG